AGAGTAATAGTAAATCTTGCTATGAATTAAGAGTGGAGGTCATGCTCACAAACCTCCCTCTCCGATTTGAGGTGTATCCTCCTCCATGTCATGGTGGGTCACCTCTATTCTCGGCATTCCCTGCTATGGAGGGGCCTAGGGGCTGCTCCTCCAATCACTGACTGTATCTTGAGACGTCACCCTGGTATCACACAATACAGCGTTTCCTCTCACTCTCTGGATCCCTGGGTTTGATTCAAGTTCAATCCAGTCCAAGCAGAAGCCAAGGGGTCCTCAGTGGCAGGTGACCCATGCGAGGGCCTTCCTGAAGCCCCACGGTGAGGCTGCCTCAATATGCAGCTGAAGAAGGCACAGCCTCAAGACTGGCATGCAGAGTCCATCACAGGACACACGGCACATGCTCTGCTGCCCTGTCGCCTGCCACGGAGCCCACCCATCCTGGGACCAACACAGCCCCGAAGACCTCCAGCCCTGGGTCAGTGTGAGAGGCTCAGCGTCCACCTCACAGGAGTGCAACTGGCCCACTGCAAAAGGCCAAGTAGAGAGGGAGAGCTGCGTGCCTCTGTGTGTGTGTGTGTGTGTGTGTGTGTGTGTGTGTGTGTGTGTGTGTGTGTTTGTATGTTCGCGCGTGCGCACGCGTGTGGGTGTGCACAGACCCAGCCAAGGGACAGAAAGAGCAGAGAACGTGACAAAGAGATGGAGGTACGCCAGTGTCTCCGGCAGAGACGAATGGGGATCCAGGAGAGCGCGACAGACAGGAAATCCTTTTAAACCAGGACACTTCCCCAAAGGGTGCTGCTGCTATTACTATTAGTTCATATTAAAGGAGCAAGCAGGAGAGGCTGGGGGAGGAGGCCGGCTGCCACGCGCCACCAGGCGTGGCTCTGGGCGCTGCTGGCAGCCATCTTAGACCTTGGCAGCCATCTTATGGCTGGCGGCCCCAGCCAGCATTGCCACAATGCCGCCACCACCAGCCCCCGGCAAGCTCAGCCCAGCGCCAGGACAAAAGGCAGAAACACTGGAGTCTGGACCCAGGCTCACAGGCAGAGGAGGGAGCCCTATGGCGAGGGTCCCGTAGATCTGCACCAACCTCAGCTTCCAGGATGCCCGCCTGGACCCCCAAAGGGCAGGGAGGATGAGACTGGTACCCTGGCAACACTGTAGCTTTGCTGAAAGGCAGCGGACGCCCTGAACTACCATGTCTAGGCCCAGGCACCTATCGGTTCAGCGAGAACGGACCCCTGCCCAACAGGGCTAAGAGTATTTCGAAAGTAAGGGATGTTAATACCCTGTCAGCTCAGAACACATCCTGAGTAGAAACGAGATGGGGGTTGGCAGGGAATCAGACAGGTCACTGGGTCCTCAGTGGTCAGACTCTGGGGCCAGCCAAAGGACATCCTGCCATCCAGAGATGGGAGCCAGAGGCCAGCCTTCCCATGTGGTGGGCTCTCTGGGATGCCTTGAAACAGGGTCTGTGCCTGTTCTGGACACCCCTAGGGACCAGCAGCTGGGCCCAGGGCAGCATGCCCCAGTGTCCAGGCACCTTGACCCTCCTCTGCTTGGGACCCCTGGGGGAGGTTATAACCCAGGATTCAGGACGAGACGAGGAAGGCCCCTTTACAACAAGCCCTCCCCTGGCCCCGCCTCATAGCTGCTTGGCTTTTATCTGGCAGAATGGGGCTTATCAGAGCCACCAGCTGAACAAACACACAAATCCACGGTTAGTGAGAAAAAATACTCAGCCTGAACTCTTTATCTCCTGTTCACAGGCCTTGCACACTGCCCACTGCCAAAAGCACAGGAGGGGACCTGAGGCGGGGCAGCGGGGGCTGAGTTCTCTGCTCTGGAGGTGGAGGGTGGCCTCTCCGACTCCGGCCTCAGCCACCTCCCTTCTTCCCTCCTTGTCCCTGGCCCATCACCAGTGGGTAGACATTAGTGAGCTCCTGCCCACACAGAACCCTCCAGTGTCTGCTTTCTCGCTGGGGACAATGGGCCAGCTGGTGGCCTGTGGAACAGCAGAGGGACAGGGATGGTACTGGCTCACACAAGGCAGGCAGGTGCCACTTCATCTCTTATCCCGTCCTGCTCAGCCCATACTGGACACTGTCACCGGTTCCCCAGTTTGCTATGGCCACATCCCCTGGGGGCTTTTCTTGCTTCAGCCCCTCATCCTGGCTGGCATGGAAGCGAGGATGGCAGCTCCGGCCTCAGTGTCAGGGCAGTCTGGCCCAGGCTGGGAAAAGGGAAAAAAAGCTCCTCCCTGCACCCACTTTACAGAGCCTGGGGCTCCTACCACTTCCTTCAGAAAAGGAACCAGGACAAAGGGTTTGCCACCACCTTCCCTGGACCCGACCCAAGACAATTCAATAGTCTTCTAAGTCTTGGGGCTGAAGAACAAAACTTTCCTCCAGGCTCTAACGTGTCTCCCACTCTGCCCTTTGAATGCAAATACCTGAAAACCAAGCCCTGCCCATGTTTGATGGATGCCCTGGATGGGCAGGTAGCTCGGGCCCTGCCCGCCCGGGCCAGGTTTGGAGAGAGCATCTCAGAGCCCACGGTTCATTCTCAGCACTGATGGGTGGTTTGGGTCAGGCCACCGGTGACTCAAGAGTGCACAGCCCTCACCCTTTTCTGAGGCTGCTCATACAAGGCATGTCTCTGAGGCGGAGACCGCTCCCGATAGTGGGTTTCTGGAAGGCAGGGCTGTGAAGGGGCAGGTGAGGTGATACATTTGGGTTGACTGGGCATGGGCCCAAGTGGGTTCCACAGACGGGCCTCGACGGCAAATTCTTACCTGCTCTCCAGTCCTACACCATAACAGCTTAGAGCTGTTAGACTATAGGTGTCGGACAACATGTAACCGGCAGTGGGCAGCATGGGCCCCTCCGTTCCCACATGCTCCTTAACGTCTCTGGGATAGACAAAAAGCGCCCCCGTAAAGCTGCCCTTCTAACCTCACGTTGGCTCCGCCCTCTCAGGCCCTGAGCCTTAACTGTGTTTCTGGCTTTTCTTTCTGAACTCCATCTCTGAGCTTTGTTTGGCTCCCACCCTCTGTCATCCTCTCGGTCCCTATACTTCCTTGCAGGTCCCTTTCTTCCTCACTTCTGCCTGCTTGCACACACGTGCGTGTGTTTGAGAAGACTGCCTCTTAGGCAGAGCTCTGGAGGGCAGGCTCTCATAGCTAGGACCCAGCATTGCCCCAAACCCTGATGTATATGTGTGTGTATATATATCCCCAACCACAGACAAGGATGTATTTATGGCTCCTAGCAAGTGAGGGAGGAATTCCTGCTCACTATAGCCAACACTCCATGGCTCCCACGCGAAACAAGCTCATTCTGCAAGGGGGCAGCTGCGTGTAGCTCGCTGGCCAGCTGCCTCCATGGACTTCACCCAACATATTCTTTAGGGGCCAGGAGGGGTACAGACCGGCCTCAGCTATACGCCAAGAGCGTACTTAGGCATGTGGACACACTCAGATGAGCACACTTGTTACACTCTCAGCCACACATGTCACCTGCAGATG